AAATGAGGATCCTTCATCTGCAATCCCTTTTATAATTTTGGTAACAGCTTTACTGATCTGTAATCCACATACCATACATTTCAAAGTGTACAGTCTAACGGTTTTTAGTATATCCAGTTACACAACCACCATCACAATTTTAGAACCTTTTCACCACACCAAAAAGCAAGCCTGTGCCCTTTAGCTATTGTCCCCAATCCACACATTTCCCGCCCCTGCTTTGTCCGTAGATATGCCTATTCTGGACTTTTCATACCGTATGAAGTCATGCCGTATGTGCCCTTTTGTGTCTCACTGCTTTCTCTTAGTATGTCTTCAGGGCTAGCCCGTGGTGTGGCATGTCGGTGCTTACTCCTTTTATTACAGCCGAAGTGATACTCCGGTTGGGCATCCCCCAGTTTACGCATTCATCACTTGATGAACATTTGGGTTTGTTTTCACTTTTTTGGCTCTTTGGAACTGCTGTGAACATTTGTGTACAGGTTCTGAGTGGATATGTTTTCATTTCCCTTTGATATATACCTAGGAGTGGAATTTCTGGGTAGAAATGGCAACTTTTTGATGATCCGCAAGACTGTTTTCCAAAATGGCGGTGTGAGGGTTCTGATGTAATTGTATTTTGTATATTTCACGTACACTCATAATGGTAACATGCTGCTTTCAGTTAAGCTTTTTTTCAATTTTTGTTAGAAGTTATGTAAGTATAGCAGTATGTGCTAATTACTGAAAAAAAAAAAAAAAACCGTTGAAAGCAATTACTTGTTAATTCACCATCCAGAAATCTAAGTGTATTTATTTCTAGAATTCCATGTGTGCACGTATATACTTATATTTTAGTTTGACAAAATGGGATTTTACCACACACACTTTTCTAGGTCAGTATCAGCAATGTCGTGTGAACCTGTATGTCATCACAACATCTACAGACATCTGGGAAAAGGCGTTACTGGTGTGTGATGTTTTCTTGAAGTACACAGGGTTCGCAGACCCTGGGAAGACCCTGCGGCCGTCAGGCTGGGGGCTCCTAGCTTCACCTTTAGTCTTCTTACCTTAAAAGCTAAATTACTCTGTCAGTTTTGGTTAAGACACAATTTCCTCAATTTAATTTTTAAAATTCTTTTTATTTCTTTTTAAAAAGCACTCACTGAAAATGACCGAGACAGCCAGTCACCATTGAAGAATCCTCTGTTGTCGACGTCAAGACCCCTGGTTTTCGGCAAGTCCAATGGTACATACCTCTTTTCATTATCTTCCGTCAGGCACACCACTGCAATCGTTAAGGGCAACGGATTTCAACGGCTCTTCTTAGAAGCAGACTAATCTATTCTCTCCCGCCTGGGAGTTAACACTGAGACCACTGCTTTCAGCGGCCAGAAACCTTCCAAACTGCCTTCAATGCCACCACTTTATTCCTCTTCTGCTTTCAGGGCTCCTCTTGTAGCAAGAGGTAACTCGGCTACCATCATCTATTTGTGGCCACTTTTTGTAAAACAAGACTTCTGATCTCTGCTTTTCAGTTTGTATATACGGAATTTGCTTAGTGGAATTCCTCATCCCCTCACCATTCCTTTCTACCCGTTTTCCTTTTGCTTTCATGGAGTTTACTTAGACTAAAGTATATATTGTGTTTCCTTTGTCTCAAGGTGATACAGTTGATTATCAGAAACAGCTGAAGCAGATGATTAAAGATTTAGTCAAAGAGAAGGACAAAACTGAGAAGGAGTTGCCCAAGATGAGCCAGGTACGGACTGTATTCTGTGCAGAGAATTCACCATTTTGCCGAGTGACCGATTCAGACGTAGGCTTTTTAATTCAGCTGCACCCCCTCCCCCGTTACCTCTAAAGCTATAATCAAAGAAAAGATCTTATAACTTCTGGGAGCTGAACACTGTGATGTTTAAATGGAAATATTTAAATTGTGATCCATTCAGCTGTCCAAATATTCAGAGCTCTTCAGGAGGTTGCCACACATTTCATTCTTTGAAGAGTTTTTTTTTTTTTTTTTTTAAATAAGAGAATTAAAAAAAAAATTGGCTGCACACGGGATCTTCGTTGTGGCACGTGGAATCTAGTTCCCTGACCAGGGATCGAACCTGGGCCCCCTGCATTGGGAGCGTGGAGTCTCTTCAGGGACCTCCTGCACTGGACCGCCAGGGGAGTCCCTGAAGTTTTTATATCAAATTCATTTACCCAGATTGTGATGCAGATTTATTCCCTAGAGCGATGGAAGCTATTTGGGGGAATGTGTATACAGCATTCTTCATGTAATAGTGTACTCTTTCTGGTTTCCTGAAACTCACTGACTACATATTATACTGTCCTGATAAGGCTTCAAGTTGCAAACGTCCCTTTGTTATAGGACTCAAATCCCTTTAGCAGGGTTTTTTTGTTTTATTTTGTTCTTTCCCCACAAAACAAAGAAGTGTTGCTCAACTCTGTTGAGTTGCTTTCAAATATTCTACTCTTTGGATATAAAGTCAGTTAAATCTCAGTGTTGTTTGTCAGTCATACCTCAGTTAACAATCATGGATGTTTCTCCCAGGTCATTAAACACTAAATTAGTAGCTCAAGCTTTTTCCTATTCCTGGAGTAATTGTGCAGCTAAGTTCCACCTGAGGTACCTCTAGCACACGACATAAAGGTTCTGTCTGGGCAGGAGCATGTGTGTAGCTTGACGCGTCTGGGCAGGAGCATGCACGTGGCTTGACAAAGCGTCAGGCATCGCTTTCTACTTCATTCACTGGCCTTTAGCTGCTGCTTGGCACTCCCACCAGATTACCAAATCATCATCCCACTCAACCTTAATATTTAGACTGTTTCCAACCTTTTGCTATAATAAACCCTAGCCTAAACATCCTTCTCGACAAATCTCTGTACACAGCTTTTCAATACATTAGCTGTCTTGCTGGGTTAAAGGGTCTAACACTTCTGTATAGACAGCACAAGTCTGCATGTGTGCTGAAATCCCCTGGACTATTAATGGTGTGTCTTCAGAGTGGAAGGGCAGAGAATACCTCTTATTTTCTGCTTCAAAAAGTACTATGTGTTTTTTTTTTTTTCCCCCAGAGAACTAGGTATTAGGTTTGAAAAAAGCCCACAATATGCTTCTATTCTTGTTATGCTGCTACATGCGGACCTCTTTTTTCTCAATTCCAGCGAGAATTTATCCAGTTCTGTAAAACATTGTATAGTATGTTCCATGAAGATCCAGAAGAAAATGATTTGTATCAAGCCATCGCCACAGTAACCACTTTGCTGCTGCAGATCGGGGAAGTGGGGCAGCGGGGCAGCAGCTCTGGAAGCTGCTCCCAGGAAGCGGGGGAGGAGCCGCAGGCTCCGGTTCCTTCTCCTGAGCAGGACTCGGTGTTTGCCGACACCCACAATGGGAAGAGCCCCCGAGAGTCCCAGGCATTTCCTGAAGAGGCACAAGGGGACTGGACTGTCTCCCTCGAACATATTTTAGCTTCACTTCTGACTGAACAGTCACTAGTCAACTTTTTTGAAAAGCCACTGGACATTAAATCCAAACTTGAAAATGCCAAGATCAATCAGTACAGCCTCAAAACTTGTGAAATGAGCCGCCAATCACAGCCCGAACTCAAGCTGAGTAGCCCGTAGCAGGACAGCGGTTGGCTGAGACCAGTCTCCATACCAAAGCACAGTCCAGGTCTGTGGGTTGTCAGCCCATAAATCTAGGTTTGTCTAGTTCATCGTGAGTACACTTTACGAGCTGGGCATCTGGATAAGCAACCTGACAGCCACAACTGGGGTGGGGGGTGGGGAACTGATGCAACCCTCCAGCGTTTCTATCTATCCTTTAAGAGAATTCAGTTGGACACGGTCATTGCTAGAGAGTGTCTCGCATCAGTTCCCTTGATGCTATGACTTGCAACTTCACTGTTACCAGATTTGCTGTTAAAGGGCACCTCTGCTGTGATGCTAGTATTTTGTTCTCAGATGGAATATAAGAAAGTCAAATGTATGATACTAACCCAGGGAGGAGAGAAGCCCAAGCACTCATCCTTCACTTCACATGGGCGGGATTGAGAATCAAGTTCACTTTCAAGATTTAAGAGCCACTATCTGTGCAATTGTATTTGGCTTTTTTGCACTAATTTCGTTTCAATGCTGGTAATTGAAACCATTTTAATATATTTGTTGTATTCACTTTGTGTCCTTCCAAAAAATGTGTACAAACCACGCTTTCAATGTTGGCCTCCAAGTTTTTTTAATAAGAAATTTTCGTATTGACTTGGTCTGTGTTTGGATCTTTACTTATTTCAGTGTCTGAGGTCCGGACTGTGCCAGTGAATGGATAACCTGGAGATTCCTCTGCCCCACCATGTTCACGGCGGACAGTACACTACACTGCAGGTAGCCCCCAACCCCACTACTGTCATCACCAGGGCTTCAAAAGGGGACCTCTTTCTGGCATTTTATTCGCATCAGTGGTACAAGCACACTGATGAAATATGATCCCCGCAACACCCTGCTTTCAGGCAGAATTTAGCAGACTCTGTTAGCAACCTTTTAAGAAAGGTTACCCCTGAGCTTTTAACCCCATGTAAACCAGGACTAAAAACACCTCATGGGGCCACTACAAGTGAGTGAGCTAAAAAGGAACCGTACACACTTCACTAAATCTAAGAATATCAAAAGTGTACCATTTTAGCATGTTAAAAATGGCAATTAAGTGCTACATGCCAGTGCCTGGAAAAATGTTATCTTAGGATTCACAAAACACACCTGTAAAAGCATTAACATCATACCCCCAATGTCCCACCTGAACAGCCATTACCAAGCCAGGATGCATTTCAAAAGCATCTTAGAACACCTGCCTAGGCCCTGTGCAAATATTCAGAAACTCCAGGGAATGGGGAGAAGGGGCCCAGGCACAGTAGTTAGGAAACACTCTCCAAACGCTCCTGTAACTAACTGGGAACTGCTTTAAAATAGACAAGCCTATTTTACCTGCAACTAGAAAAGGAAAATCAAGATGCGAAGGCAGCTCTGTAACTTTATTGGATAATCAGCAGTTAGTTCTCATCCACATTAACTGTCTGTAGATCTGCAAAAGAAGACAGCCAGTCACCTTCCACACCCACACACCCCGTTCCATACTTTCACTCCAAGAACCTTTTTCTTCAAGGGTTTAGGTAAATGTTACTATTCCACGTGACCTTTCACAACCCAGATAACAGACCTATTCTGTATCCTTTTGCATTTTCCCACACCGTGACACAATTTAAAAAAGGTTTACCGATTATGCCTGTAACTTATATCCCTACTGGAAGGATGCCAGGGATACAGGTGCACAATATTTGTTGAACAAATGAATTCAGGTTACAAAAAGGGTGAGGACTTAAACAGCTGTGTGGGATGAAGCAGAACTTACTTTTGAAAGTGGTGACAGGTACATAGGTAACCAACGTATAGAGCTTGTTTGGTGAATCTTCATCTTCATTCCGTTTTCTGGACAACCGCACACGGATACGGTATGGGACATTCCTGAAAAATAGAGAACGCTGGTGTCAGTACGCACTAGCGTCAGCAGGCAGCCACCACTGCCACGCTGGGGCAGCACTGACCCTGCAGGCTATACCGAACACGTGCAACTGTTGAAGGTTCAGCTCCCCGCCTCCCACACAACTCCTCCCGGCTCGGCCAACCTCTCAGCAGCATCACAGGCGACTGCATCCCCACCTTTTCTTGATCCAAGGACAGAAGGTGTCCTGAAACTTCTCTCGGCTCATGCGATACCCCTCCTCCCCTATCTCAAGGGAGCTCACAGGCACCCATGCCAGCCTACTGCGGGGCTGAATCTCAGGTCCCTGTCACCGCATCGGACCCCAATGTTAAGGCACCCCCCGCCCCCCACTCGTCTTACACATCACCTAGTCCCCGCCAGCTCCACGCCCCGCGGCTGGTCCCACTTCCACCATCCTCCACAGCAAAACCAGCCCCCTGCTTATAAGCAGGTCTTAACCTCGGCACTACTGATACTTGGGCTGGATACTTGCTTTTGCGTGGATGTGGGTGGCCTGCCTTGTGCGCGGTACAATGTTTAGCAGAATCTCTGGCCCGTGACCACCCCCCCAATACTGACAACCAAAACGCCCCCGTCCCCCAGCAACTCTGCTCCAGCGGCTTCCCAGTATGTCCAGACAGAAATCCAAACTCTGTGCCACCACCTACAAGATCTGTCCCCTGCCTAACTCTCCATCCCCACTGTTCTCAAGCCGTACAACCTGCTCCACCTTCACCAACCTCTGTCCCCAAGTCACTGAAGTTTGTTCTCGCACTGAAGTTTGTTCTCGCTTTGCGTGATGCTCTCACCTGACCCTCACACTGCTGGCTCCTACGTCATTTGCGTCTCAGTTCAAAGGGCTTCCCTGCAGATACCACCCTACTCTGAGTCAGGTATTTTCTTTATACCTCCATGTGCATTAGCTAGTGGAATTGTGAAAGTTCATCTTATAACACAGACAACTTGAGTACCTTATTCCTTTGGCCCAGACAGCTTTGTTGAGCCTGGTGTCAATGCGTACATCCGGAGTTCCCATCTCCTTCATGGCAAATTTCCGTATTTCTTTGAGTGCCCGAGGGGCACGCTTCTTGAAACCCCTGAGATTCAAACATAAGTAAATAAATCAAGTACAAAATTAAATAAAAAGACACAATATACCATGTCCTATTTTCATAAAACAAATCTAAACTAAACCTTGAACAGGGCAGGAACAATTCTTTCCTCCACCACTATGTAATGCCCAGCAACTACTATAATACTTGGGACACAGAAGACACACAATCTACTTTCAGTCATGTAGAACAAGGACTCTGTATATGATCCTTAAGAGATGCTAATACACACTGGCCAACCCTTTCCTGATAAAAACAAAAACAGCCCCAAGGTCTAATACCATCTGCCAGGGAGAGTATAATCTAAGAATGATGTTAGAATAATGATGCTTAGAATAAGCTTGAACATAACACACAAGTAAATACCGTGTCCTCGGGTCAAAATATTATTAGATTATTTGCCACATCTTAAGACATGGGATTTAATGGTTCATTATTAACTTGCTTAAAGAGCAGGGGCCTGCAATGTACCGATTCCTTCTCAAGAAACACGATGAAGGCAACAGTTAATGCTACGGATCTCTCGGCATGTGTTAGGCACCATTAACCTGTTGTTTGATGAGGATACATAAATTCCTTTAAATTTCATGCTTTCAGTTAAATACAAAACGTGAAAAAGCCAAAGTTTACTAACGGCTGAAACGGTCAAGCATTTGGATAAGCAAAGGTTATTCCAAGTGGGGCAGAGACCGAAGCTTAAAGGGTGTCCTCCCCCCGGCTCCAGGACTGTGAATGTCAGAAGGAGCCGTGTCAGTTACCATGTCCCCCTTGCTCCCTTTGCTCTACCCCTCACCAGCCTCCTTGAATCCATCAAGCAAGGTCGCTTCGTTCACTTAAATATTTAACCACCTAGAAATAAAAGGCTAGTACTAGAGATAACAGCAGTAGGTTTAACAGACAAAAGCCCGTTTCCCAGTTTCCCACGTAGCTTTCGTAGTTGACACATGGAGTACGTCAGATGGTATCAAGCGCCACAGAGAAAAATAAACCAGGGAAAAGAGGGAGCATTAGGGAAGGAAGGGGGCTGCAGGTTTAAAGTAAGATGGCCACTGAGATACTGAAGTCCAGACCCAAAGATGATGAGGGCAACTATTTATCTACCTAATAGAAAAAGCATTACGGCAGGGGAAAAAAGGTAAAACTAAAACCAAACTGCGAGCTTGAATCAGGTACTTGCCTGCGTTGATTAGGAAAGAAAGTGGCCAACCCATGTGGAATCATAGCAAGAACTTTGGCTTCTCATCTGAGTTAAGATGGGAAGCCAATGGAGGGTTTGAGAACAGCCCAGGTGTCTGGGCCTGGAAGAGGGAGCCAGGAGCTGGAGCCGCTAACTGCAACCGTCAAGAGAATGCTGGTGCGACCAGTGCGATCAGACTGGGGAAGGCAAAGCCAAGAAGACACACTCACTTGCCGGGAAGGCCACAGGGAAATGGGAAGGTCGGGGGTGGAGACGGACGCTTAGGAGTTTGGTTTGGGGCCGTGTAAAATTTTTGAGATACCCATTTAAACACCCAAGTATACAGGTTGATAGCAGCTGGATACGCGAGACCCTAAAGCTAGTGGCTGTTACCAAGCATAGTTAGAGGGGCTGAGGCCTGGACTCAACGTTAAGAGGACGTGCTGTGAGTAACAACAGACTAGACTGGGGAGGGGCAGCAGCTGCAGAAGCACGAAAAAACACCACTGTGGGATCTTTGGAAGTAAAACGAAGAATGAACAAAGAACTGTCAATTGCTGCCCATCAAGTATGACCAAAGGTTTTAGTACCGTGAAGGTCTTCACTTAGGGCTTTTATAACAAAGCACAAAATGCCTGAAAAACTTGCCCACCCACAATGGCTCACACCCACTTCGCTAATGTCCGCTTAACTGTGTGGCCTTTAAAACACCACCCCTTTCACCTTGTGACTTACTTTCCACCTGCAACTTTTCACCATTTGATATCTGGATGCTTATTATCTAACTTCCCCTACTAAGTAAACTAGGAAGGTAGGCTCTTTGGTTCCCTGTTGAATTCACAGAGCCCAAGACACAGTAAGTGCCTAATATGCTCCCCAAATGAATATACGCACGCCCCTCAAATTAACGGGTGAGGGGAAGAGAACGTGGTTACCAGCAGCATCTATGCACAAAAAAGGCACTGGACTTTTGACCCAAAAGCCTCTAGAGACCCCACGTACACGACACTCCTTGGCTCACACATGGTCAACGCCTGGCCGGAAACGCCAGGCCCAACGCGGATGCTGCTGCACATTTAACTCCCTCACAAAATGGGCTGTCCAGATACGAGACTGCCCAAGCAAGCGCAAGAAATTCTGCTCCACGGACTGGTGCCTGAATAGAGTATTTTGCGGTGCAACATCTATCAAAAATACCCCAAGTAACAGTATTCAAGAAGAGATTTGGTCTCCGTTATCACTAATAAGCACCATGTGCAGAAAAAAGGGAAGCCTCACTAAGTTTAAGAACAGAAAAAAACCAAACACTAGAGGCGAAAACCAAGAACCAGCACGTTCGAAATCACTCCCAATATTCTTGTACCTCACAAATCAACAACCTCCAGGTGTCGCCTGCACAAACACTGCCCTATAACCCCACCGATACGCTCTTTTCTGGTCCCTCCAGCAGCTGCACTTCCGGCATTACAGCCTTACCGATGTTCCTACGGATCTGTGGAGGTCAGCGAACTAAAGGAGGCCCATCGGAGTGTTCGTATTCTGGGCCGGGCACAACTTTAGTTAACTGGTTACCTTTACTAAGGCCTAGACACATCGAAAAAGTCTGCTTCCCCTCATATACACATCTTTCACCCTTCAGGCCCGCCAAGGTGTAACTGCGAAACAGAGCGAAATGATTTTTATCATTACCGTATTTCTCCAAGTTGGCTCTCCCAGAAACCTAATCTGTCTAGGTATTAACCTCTGAGCATTACGCTTTAACCCCCTGTAAACCTTAAACAGGGTCCACGGAATACAGACGAGCTTTTGAAGAAACGCGTAACTTCTAGATCACACAGCATCCAGACGACTAGACTGACCCCAGGGACAACCAGACCGCCACCTCGGGAACCCCCATCAGCAAGGCATCGACGACCGCAGGGGTACTCACACTCCATGGATGCGCTTGTGAATGTTGATGGTGTATTCTCTGGTCACCACCTCGTTGATGGCGGACCGGCCCTTCTTCTTCTCGCCGCCCTTCTTTGCGGGAGCCATCTAAGCCCAGGCGACAAAGAGGCTCAGAGCGAGGGGGACAAACCCAAGCCAAGTCCTCCCGGCCCGGCCCGGCCCGGCCTCACGCAGCCGCCCTCGGAGAGGGTCCGGCCAGGCCCCTGAAGCCCCAGGTCTGGGCAAAGCCAAGCCGGCCACCCCGCGCAGCCCAAGCATCCGCGCCCCTTAGGTGCCCCCGCCCCGGAAACCCCTGCGGCCCGGGTTCCCCTAAGCTTGGCCACTCTCTCTCCCAGTCTCCGGGAGCCCTTAAATGCAGCGCAGATTCCCGTGCCCTCGGAACGCGGGGCCCCGAGCCGGGTCAGGAGAGAGCCCGCTGTCCTAGGCGGCACAATCCGGGGCGAGGATGCCACCGGATTCCTGCAGCCGGCACCCAGCGCACGTACTCACCTTGCCCGGCCGGGGTTAGAAAGGAAGACCGGGAGGGATTGTGGGAGAAGGAAAGCAGGGTCGCAAGTACAACTTCCGGGTCACCTGGAGGCGGGTGGAGGGGACGGGTGAGAGGAGGGAAGAGGCGAGGCTGTGACGTAAGCGGCGCGCGCCGGGAGGGAAAAGCGAGCGGGCCTCGGGCGCGGGACCTGGAGCGTCGCGCTCTCTGCGCCTGGCTTCCTGCCGCGCGTCCCCGCCTCCTGCGCGCGAACGAGTGTGGGCGGCACTTGCGCCTCGGGTCTTACTCTTCAGAGGGCGCCGGACCTTGGTCTCCAGGTGGAGGAGAGCCGGCGCAGAGGGAAGTCGCTCTTCTGTTTTTCGCACTCGCTCAGTGATTCGGCCATTGGTGTCTGACCCTGTGTTCCCGGCTGGAGGCCCGGAGATGACTGACGCGGCTGCCACCCTGGAGGGGCTCCGGTCGGGCAGAGCGGGCTCGCGAGAAGGGCGTCCTCGCTGCCCGGACCGGGGAGCCTCTCGGGGTTGGGTGGGGGGCCGCGATCAGCCGCAGCGGGACCTGGGCTAGGGGCGAGGAGGGGGGCAGGGCAGAGGCCTGCACAAGAAGTGTTTCGAAATCAAAATCGCCAGTTTGTAACTGACTATATGAAGCGTCAGTTTAGGAGACTGCTAGTAGTTGACAAAATCACCTTAGAAACGGAGAGTAAAATACTATATACAATCTATTATATTGGAGAAATCAATGTGATTTCATGACCTTAAAGAAATACCTGTTTTTCGCTCTATCACAACAGAATGGCCCAATAATAGCAATAGAAGCAGCACTTTTATCCAACACCTGATGTAAGATACGTACCTTGAGAATGAAAAGGGAGGAAACTGACGCCAGGAAGTCGGGTGTGAGTTGACAGACTACAGAGCCAAGTCCCGCGTCCCCAGGCCAAACCCACGGGTTCACAACTCTGGACCTTCAGTCTGCTGCGTTCTCTTTTGGAGGGGGCGAGGGCGTGATAAGATCCTTAAACCTAGGGAGGTGTAAAAACTTTACTGGGTGAGTTATTGCAACTCTAGAACGGTATGTTAAAACTGGAGCGCTGAGAAGGTATGAGAATGAGCATGGAGTAAAATACAGACACGTTAAATCTGTGATATTCACATTCTGCAACCAGTTTTGATGTAAAGAGTATATATATATATATATATATATATATATATAGTTATATAGTTATATAGTTATATTTTGTGGATCCTTTTAGAACTTTTAAGAAAGCTTCTGTATCAGACTTGAGATTTTAATTCTTACAAGGGTTATTTGTAATCTCTTTTCATAATTGGGGAAATTTGGGGGGTAAATTCCTAAATAGTGACTCGTTTGTTGTTTAAGTAGTATGTGATTAATAAGGGAAATGTTGACTATTTAATGGTTAAAAGAATGCTAATCGATAAATTTATAAGATTAGTCAGTTGGACATTAAATGACTTACAGTTAGTGGTGACTATCTTTCCACGTACAAAATCCCCTCTGGCAGAAAGGAATTTACCAGCATGGAGGATCAAGTTTTTCAGTTTATGTCGATGGGTGGAGTCGTGGCTCCACTGAAAGAGGTGGGGACTTCGGGAGGGGCAGATGGTTTTAAAGGAAGTTGAGTCACATACTGAATTAAATTCAGGACCTTTTAAGTGTGTATAAAGTGGAAACCCAATATTGGAGTATATATTTTAAGGCCTGTATTATTTCAGTGAATGTGCTCACGGGTTATCCTGCTTCTCCCATAACTGGACATTGGCTGGTTAGGGAATAATCCTAAAGGAATTTTTTTTTTTCTTTCTGATGAGCTTTTTTCACCCGGAAAAATAAAGCTCTTCACAGATACCATAAGGCTGTATATTTCAGCTATTTAGTCAACCATGTTATGCATACAGAAGTATGCTATCGTTTGTACTATCGCACATAGGCACTGTATGAAGTTCATACGTCTGTGTCCAAAAAGCCACATATGTCATGTCTCTGGAGGATCCAAATTAGTTATTTGTCTAGGTTATTAAGGGATGACTTTAAAACCATCAGGCTTCACATAAAGTGAAAAGAGAAATGGAAGCAATTTTCTACCCAACACCCACATTTTACCAGATAATTTTGGCAAGAGTCCAACATGTCATGACTTAGAATGATCTCATAGTTGATCAGTTCACCGTGTTGCCTGTATAAACAAAAATTTTAAATTAATTTAATGGACGTTCGTTGCCATTAGAGACAGAAGATACTACATTTTAATTGAGTTAGTTTAAAATATTCTAAAACTTGGTGTATTCCAGAGTTCACATTTCAGTCACTTCTCATGAGCCAAGACTTTATAGTTTTCCAAATAGAAAGGTCATGGCTTTTCTCGAAACAGAACAGGATTGCAAAACAGTCTTTTAATGAGCAAAATTAAATGAATCAAAGGCTAAGGGATTAAACTTCCCCTGATGTTATGTGGGTTTAAAGAAATATTACCCAATAAGAGTTTTCTGAGTTTACCCAGACTCTGAACATGTGTAAGGTTTAAGCAATACTAAATTAAATTAGTAGCGTGACATACTCCACCCTTTTCTAATGGCTTCCAGCTAGAAAATCCTAGGAAAACAAATAGGCCGTTTCCATTTTAAAAAGTTGTTCTACTTAGAAGTGCAGATTCTGACAGCCAATTAAAATACAAATTCTTTTACAGAAAAGTCAGATCTGTAAACCTTTGAATTTACAAAACAGTTAAATTACAAAATAGGTAATCCAGTGTCACACAGACTTTTTGTTTTAAAACGAGGGTTCCTTTAAAGAGTAAATGATCCTAATATATGCAAAACATTTAGACTTACCTGTTTTCAGGAATATTGCAGTTGTGTGAATAATAAAACTCCTTTTGATGTATTTACCTGGCAGCCTCTGATGCCACTGAAAACTGATCCTGGCCAGAGAACGGAGAGGAGTTTCCCCTGCCTTACAGATAGAAGCAGACAGAAGCACAGAACTCCAGTGATGGAGCAAGGAAAGGAACTTAGTTCTCTTGGGCCAATGCCTGTAGAAAGGGCTCTGCTGGGCATGGCCATGTCAGTGATTCTCAATCACGGTGTGCCACGGCACCCTCACTCCAGTGTGCTGAAGCCTCACGGGAAAGGGGGGGATGGTCTGCTATTGCTGTATCTCCCCCGTCCACATGACATGGGCACACATCTCCCACACAGACACACAAACCCTGGGCACGTCACTGATACCTAAGTGCTAGCAGGCAGAGCCCATGCAACTCCAGCCCAGGTGAGTTGAATTAGGGGCTATGCCTGCTTTGGTGGATGACAGCTTGGCCATCTCTGTGGATTACCTGTGTCTCTAAGGTGGAGATGTTTCCAGGAACTTTTTCTGGTCTTGTCACTTTGTTTTGCTGGCATTTCTACAGTGAACTGTTGTTTTCTTCTGGCACAATCTCTCAAATGAAGATCAGGGTCCCGACAGGCTGAAGCCAATGTTGAAGTCAAAAAACCTAAGGTCATCACCCGGCTTGCTTGTTGCTGGCTCCCGCCTTTTCCGTATCTTTGATTATCCTTAAAAACATCTTGAAATTTAAAAAAAAAAAGAAGTTTACTGATGAAAAGATGTATGCATGCATCTAGAACAAGGGACAGAAACTGCCTCCCAAGGAAATCATACAAATTTGTTAGTTTATTACAAAATGTCCACGCACAGAAATACACAAGAAAACTTTTATCCTCTTATATTTGGGAAAGGAACTGGTGTCTCAGATACAAAATAATTTACACATAATCCATACAATTTTATTTTATATAGAAATAGGTCCTTATTACAACAGCTGTACAATTCACTACACTTCATCTTAAAATTACATAAAATCTTTTCTTTAGAAACATCTCAACATAACAAAACATACAAAAAGAGCAAAGTGCATTTTGAAAAGGAAAATCCAATCCTCGGTCTTATCAGGAAAGATATGTAGAAAGATGCAGCATTCTCATTCCAAGGGCCAGCACGTGATGGGGCTTCCTGGGGACCTGCCGCTCCACGGACCCGTCTGGCTGGTAAAACCTTCCCAGTCCTCAAGTCCTCAACGAGAATTCCAGAAGGTCAGCTGCGGGATTGTGCTTTGCTTTGAGTCCGCCTTCGTGGTTGTAATCGCCGAAGTAAACAGGAAACAGTCCAGTGTTATATTCGGGGGCAAAAAAAACACCCAAAACCAAACCAAACCAAACCCCACCGGAACGGTGTGGGGTGAAAAGCCTTATTCCATTAGGGTGAGGCCGGAGGGTGTGGCGCTGCAGCCTGGTGACTGACCACCAGCTTTGCCATCTGATCGGTGGGCTGTTTTTGTTACTGGGGTCTCCAAATGAAGTTATGAGAGGAGACAGTATTTTTAAGAAAGGAAGGTGCCTAAGTTATCTCCTTGTGCAGCTGTGCAAATTAAAACAGAAGCAATCATCTAAAAATAACGAAAAAATCATCTCTTTATTCTCTCCCTTCAACAAATCCCTGACCCGGTGCTTCTCCAACGCAGAGGAAAGAGAGTCAAGAGAGCGCAGGCCAATGAGCACGTGCGCACGGGCGGCAGCGGTGGGCGTGGCCGGCGCGCTCCGGGGGGCGGGGGCAGGATGCAGCGAGACGAGCCGTCCCTAAGGTGAACTAAGTGATGCGCTCCCGTGGGGACCGCGGTCCCTTCCAGGTATGGCTGTAGACTCTGGCCGTAAAGTGCAGGGACAGGGAAACACGGCCAGTGTCCCTGCCCACTTCCACGGGCCGGCCGCTGTGCTCAGACGCTGTCGCCATTCAGGAGCTCTGAAACGGGTGCGGCGCGCACGAAAGCCGGGGCGCCCTTCAAACTCTGCTCCCCAACTCCCTGGCCTCCCCCCCCCTCGACCGTCCATTGGTTAAAGCTGATGTGACCCAACTGAGGCGCCAGGGCACTACCGGGGTGGTTGCTGGAGGCCTGAGGACTCAGGCAGGCTGCTGAGCCTTCGGGGAGGGCGCGAGGGTGCGGGAGGAGGGTAGCCCAGGGTCCCTGGCTGCTGCGAGTAGGTAGAGAGGTGGAGCGGGTCCTGCTGGTCACT